TATTCTTCGCCTATACATACATATAATATGACCATATTTCTAGGGACATGTATGTAACCTAATCATTACGATTAGAATAACATAGAGCAGCCAAAATTGTAACGCACATATATATATATATATATATATATAGGACCCAGTGCTTGGTTTTGCAAATATAAAAAAAGCAGCGGGCTGGTGTGTACGAAATATCATTTCCTGGTTTTGACATATTATTTTAATTCTTGCTTCTAATTTTATTTCTGGGGATTATAAGGGTCATCAGTTTATTTTTTATATCATATATATGTATATATTATATTATGCCAACGAACATAATATTGACTTTTTAAAATACTCGAGGTGCGTATATAGGCTGTATGCATCTAATGGAAATACATATCAAAACATAATTTAAAAAAAAATATAGTTATTTAGCATGACAAAAACGTGCTTTTTAGTTTTTTTAATAGATATGCATATGGGTGTTACAACAATCGTCATTACCATACGACTTCATATACATATATATATATATATATATATTCCATTTGTGGGGGCTTCCAATATTGGAATTTCTTTATCCATATACTTACATGTATATGGTTCTATGTTATTAGACCGGTGAATACCTAAAAAATATACATGCGCTTATACTATGTACATATAATTAATTTATCGTATTACAAAAATTTATTTTTTGTTGTTATCATCGTGTATAAATGAATTTATCGTATTTTATGACTCATTTAATTGATCTCATCTCGTATGATCATGAAATAATTAATAAATAAATATTCTATCAAATAAATTCATATCATCATCTATAAATATATATATATATATATATAAGCTTACATAAATTTGTTACAAAAGTAAAGTTGGAAGATTAAATCAATGACGTGAGAACTCAGAGTCCAAATCTTCTTTCGGCATCATCAGTGTCGACAAAAACAATCCTTATCCATACCTTTTTACATATATTAACATCAAGACATAATAAATAAACATATAGTATAATATCAATTGGTCACATATCATAAAATTGAAACAAAGGACCATTAGAATTGGTCACGGGAAACAAGTTGCAGGAGTAGGAAAATAATGTAAATCTTATCCCGCCGTCTTATATTCCCAGTAAATTATTTTTCTTTTTTTTATAAAAAAATTATATGATTTGAGCCGAAATAATATCCCCTTGATTGATTTAATAAGATTTCTGTCCCCTTGGTTTTGCTTAAATAATTCAACCAGGTTGGTTTTCAAATAGCCTAGAATGTTAGAACCATTAGGTCGGGATATTTAGAACGTTGTGGCAATTAGTTGAACAGCCCAAATATAAATTGTGTCAGCTTTCAACTACTACATTTTCAAAGTTTGGCTGCATAGATTTATCGTTACTATATTTAAATATAATTTCATTGTAACCACCTAGAAGTGTTATTTTCATCACAAACTATTAAACTATTTTTTTGGGTAATTTTTTTTTTAATATAATGCGTTAATTCTGTAGTGTGATTTTAAAAATTTCATAACAATAAGTATGCAATAAATGAATTTTTTATAGTGATAAATAAATTTACTTAAATTAAAAACTGTATTAATTGTTTTATGATTTTTTTTTAACAATTTTCAGTTTATGAATCGATAAATAATGTGAGATTTTTATTGAATTAATATAGTTCGCCCCTATTAACCATTTCAGATCAAGAAAATCAAAGATTGAGCCCCCCCCCCCCCCCCTCCAGATACTATCAAGAACTGGTAAAGGTTAATATCCTCACAACATTTATCTACTATTTCATATGTTTATTTCGTTTTTTTATGCACTGTTATAAAAAGTACATTCCGTACTCCTATTAAATATTTACATTTATATATAAAGAATGTAAACATTCCCGTTATTATACACTTTCGCATTAAATTTATAAATTTATTTGCTTTCAAGTTACAGAATGTTTTCAGTTGAAGTTAATAGAATTTTAAGACAAATGAAATAAAATATTATGTATAACCAATATTTTAAATATTAAGTTACAAAATTCTAATAATGAAAACTAATTAATTTTTTTTTTGCTAATAGTTTATTAAAATCATACTAACATAATTGCTCGGGAATAAAAATTATAATTTAAATTAAATATTATGCAAAACATTGGTAAACATTGGTAAACATTCCCGTTATTATACACTTTCGCATTAAATTTATAAATTTATTTGCTTTCAAGTTACAGAATGTTTTCAGTTGAAGTTAATAGAATTTTAAGACAAATGAAATAAAATATTATGTATAACCAATATTTTAAATATTAAGTTACAAAATTCTAATAATGAAAACTAATTAATTTTTTTTTTTGCTAATAGTTTATTAAAATCATACTAACATAATTGCTCGGGAATAAAAATTATAATTTAAATTAAATATTATGCAAAACATTGGTAAACAATAACTATACACACATCCTTTAATTCATAGAGAATATTAAAATTTTATTTAAAAAAAAGATATTTAAAGAATATTTTCATTTCTATTTTTATTTCTACTTTATTTTTTTTGCTTGGTTTAAAAATCTTCAATAATTTTGAGCTTTGGCTCATAAATAAGTGTCCATACATCCTAGTGCTTCATATCATGGTGTTAATTATTTCTAGAGGAAAAATCAAATGCCTCTGTAATCTCTAATTCAATGTGAGTGGCCATAGAATTGCAAGCTAGAGGGCCGGCCGGAAGCTTATCGGAGAAAACAAACGAGTTCATTCATAACAAACCTGAGAGTGCACTCGTCCCATGGAGCAACGCCATAATATCGACCACCTTGATGTTCCAAGACCTCCAATCCAACGATGAATTTAGATGATGCAAGTCAATAGCCGTGGATTGATTGGAGAGCCCTGTCACGGTTCAAATTCAACACAAATAGTTTAGTAAAAGATGATTCTAGCAATGCAATTAAAGATAACCGGGGACAGCGGCCCACGAGAATCCTGTCCAATTTCAGTCCGATGAAACCCATAGAAATACATATCCAGGGTAGGTGTTCTATAAGGTCTGAGAATTGCTTGAGAAGAAAGAATTAAAATGCTCATAGCTGAAATTGATTCCAAATGGTAAATACACTTTTATCTCAACTTGAGAGTCACTCGCATTGAATTTCAAGATATGCGATTAACTTCATGGAGATTGGGAGATACACATTGCACAAATCCACAAAGAGATTGGGAGATACACGTGCAGATGGCAAGTTGGCCCTATCATTACCCAATGTGTACGGTCAAGCTCCATTGGCTGCCAAAGAACTTAAAATTTCACTTGTATCTCAAGACATGTAACATGGTCTGGGCTCGGCAACTAATGAGCTCCTTTTAATGTTTCTCCATTTGTATATTTTTTTTAAAAAAGACATTCATAATTTGTATTATTTTTCTATAGTTGCTTTGATTGATTATTATTATTTTAAATAAAAAGTATAGTTATGTGCCCCGGAGCACCAAAACATACTATGCCGTTGCACATTACAGTTTTTC